TGGGTAACCCTTGTGCACACTTTTCTTAGCACGACGGCGTGAAACCCTAAGTATCGATGACTTTTTTTTATGGGTGGAGAAATATAGTGCTTTGAAAATGTGTCCTAAAGATTTATGCATTGCCTTTTTTGGTTGATATTATTGAAGATTAGGATAGTAGTGTCACATAACATAATTCATGCACGTCTTTCTTGGCATGGTGGGCAGGTCAGTCACATTCTGATGCAGCCTCCTATATGGAGATGACGATGGAGTGTTGTCAAAATTTCAACCAACATAAAACTCAAATGAAATCTAACTTAACTATCAAGTCAACAACAAATGAAATCCTAATTTATAAAATTGAAATTAAAATGTAAAATTACGGGTACGCTCTTAGGACAACACATTCATGTTAATGATTATTATGTAGGACCCAAAGACATCCCTAATAATTATCTTAAGCAAATACTCCCCAATGAAATGAAATGACCTGTTGCAAGTCATGGGTCAGGAGTGCACAAGTACTTTAGGCAACGTGCATCTATTAAAGGTAAGTGAATTTCTACATCACATGGGTGCGTTGTCCATCACGTGAATGTTTGCTCCTAGAAGAAATTAAAATAATGCACAGCTGCTCATCATAGATTGTAGAACTTTTTTCATTAAAGTGTGTGAGATATATCAAATTATTAAAGTAAAATGTGGCATGCACATCTCCTGATTATATAGTGCAAGTTTACCAATGGCATACAAGTGCACTATATAAGCGCACTAAATAGCGTGTATGTATATCATCGACCATATGGATGCACCTTGTGAATGCATCAACAATCATATAAATTAGCAAGTACATTGAGATTCGTGCAAGTATTTCATGCAAGTGTACCATGCATGTATATGCATTACACATATATACTTTGCAATATGCAAATGACTCATGCATGCATATTAACAATATGTAGATGTATCATGCATACACTGAATAACATGTAAATGTATCGTGCCATATCAAATACAACATAAAAATATATCATGTATACACCACGTAGCATACAAAAATATCATGCAAGTACGTTAAGTAATGTGCAAATGCATACAAGTACATATACAAACATGCAAATGCCTATGCAAGCATGTAACCATGCAAACAAACACGCGAATGTGTATGTGAACATATAGATATGTCCTGCACATCCACCGCGTCACATACAAATATACTGTGTGTATACTTTGTAATATGCTGATGCAACATGAACATATACTATCCAACATGCATAAACATTACATATGTACGTCATACAACATATAACTGTATTATGCAAACGTATATGCAACATCCAAATACATTATACTAATCATGCAAATGCATTAAGCTGGTTACGCGAATGGATTAGGATAATCATGTGAATGCATCATGCCAATTATATAAATGTAGGCTATCATACAAATGCATTGCGCAGATTCAACATGCAAACGTGTGTATATCTAGCATCATGCAAATGCATTGTGTGGGTGCATTAGGGGTGTCAAAAATTGATCCGACCCGAAAAATTTTGGGTTCAGCTTAACCCGTTTACCATATGGGTCGGTTTCGGGTTCTGTTTCCCAACTTATACATAAAATCGAGTCGGGTTCAGGTTGACCTGAAAACCTGAACTCAACCTGGGTTGACCTAGAAACTCGCATCATGGACTGTGCTCACTCACCTCGCTGTCCTCGCATTTGTCCGGGATCGAGTCTGCCTCACGTGACTCACATCCACAGTCGCCTCACGTCTGAACTAGACTCCACAGCCCCCGCGTTTGCCTCAGTGCCTCTCAGCTCAAGTTTGTCGCTCGGTCTATTCGGACTTCCAACTCTGTGATCAGCCAACGCCTCACATCCAACCCGCTTTTGTCTCTTCCGGTCTATCTGGATTGGACTTCGGTCACCGCTGTAGACTATAATCGGCGATTTGATTCGCCTGCCCATAGTCTTGACCCTGTCGACACAATCGCATGTCCCGCACCGCAGTTCGCTTGCTCGCCCCTACTTGCACAACGAGTTTGGGTTCGTCATTCGTGGGTCGGGTCGAGTCAACCTGACAACCCATGCGGGTCGGGTCCAGGTTGGGAAACCTAACTTGTTTGTAAAATAGGGTCGGGCTTGAGTTGACCCGTTTGGACCCGGGTTGGACCCGAACTCGACCCGTTGACCTATTTTAGCACCCATCTATGCGGGTGTACCGAGCAAGAGCATCATACAAATATGCAAATGAACTGGCGCACATGCAAATATGTCATCATACATAATAAGAAGCACGTAAACACAATGCAATGGCACATTCAATTTTTAAAATTTCAAATTCTTTTTTTTCCAAATTTTTTTTAAACAAATAGAGTTGATAGTGTGAAAACCCCCATGATAGCAAGTTGAATAGAAATATCAATTAAAGAGGATTTTATCTTGTAAATGCCTTACAACTCTCATAAAATGCAAGTATATTTAAAATGACTACAATGTTTCCTCGATTATGATCGTGTTAAAAGCCAATCTCAATCGCAAGGAGTCATATCTTGTAAATATCCTCCAAATCATAAAATTAATCATTTCGGGGCTCAAATTTTAATAAAATTATGTAGTTCGATAGTAATAAAGTTTGAATATTTAAATATAAAATTAACCGCATAACACTTAAAATAAAAATTTATCCACCCTCCATAATAATTTGTTGGGGAGGATAAATTTGAGAGTAACTTCAGTTCATAAAGAGTGAATGTCTAGTCGATAATATTGTTAAGATTCATTCTCAAATAAACTCTTGCAGTAAGGACATGACAAGATGTCCTCTAACTAGTGATTTGAACCAAAGGCTCCACAAGACCCATGGGTTGGTCTAATGGCTCCATGTAATAATGTTTATGACGTGGCACTCTAATCAGTGGTGTAATCCAACGATTCCACAAAACAAGTGGTTTGGCCTAATGGCTTTACGTGGTGAATGATTATGATCGAGGCCTTCTAACTCAATGGTTTGACCCAACAACTCCATTATATTATGATTATGGCTAAAAGCTCAAATGTTTTTCAATGGTTAATTCCTTTGAGTAATGAATTAAAGGATATAATCGATAGGTCATAAAATTCGCTGTCATCTAAGGTCAACTCAAATCTATTCTCTTAGACAAATATTTATAATTTATAGATTAGAGATTATGATGATCCGGGACAATAGAACCATATGATATTGATTGGATTCATCATCATTACTATCACCACTCGCTTCAACTAAATGGTGATAAATTTCTAATCATAAAATTCTAAATATGCTACTATTATACATTGGATACTAAGTATATGTTACACGACTAGCCATAATTGAAAGTGCTCTCTCATTATCAAGAGGGGGTAATTAATCATAAAGGCGTGCGCCTATAAGAAATTAGACCCAAGATCATAGTTTTTTTTGTAAAATGAGGGCTAAATATCTGAGTAGTGTCTTATTTAAAAATTTAATATCTTTATGAAAATTTACTCTGGAATTTAATTTTGTTAAAACTCTTCTCGTCGACAAAAAAGATGTGGAAAGACTGAGGCGTGAATTTTTGAAGCTCACACCTTTATGGCAACATGGCCTTGAAAAATAAGATAAGCATGATGGGCAGAGATGGACGTGACAAAAAGATTAGCTCCATGGGATTAAAAATTGAAAAAAATAGGAAAATAAAATAATCACAAAAGGAAGTCGGCTTCCCATAACAGACCGTTTGTGATACCCTAATTCTCGAATATTGCAAAGATGTGAATAATGAGTTTGGAACTTTATGTGGAGAATTTCAGTTAAATAATAGAAGTGTACATATTCAGAGTTAGTAAAGCAGAGTAACTTAATCATGCAAATCCCTCATCAACAAATATGATAAGTTTGAACTTCAATAAATTGCAATTTTAAAGGAACAGAACCCAAACTAATAGCTTAATAGAACCTAACAATAGTGACTTGAACCAACCCAAATTAACTGAATTGGACATTGAGAGTCAGAACATAAAAGAACATATCATGCTCTCATAGGCATCAATATAAATATGATTTAAAGTACTAAACTAAATTTGATAGTTTTAAACGGAAAAGCAATTGCTAAAGTATTAATAATGAAAATTACCAAAACTTAGAAATTCAAAGTGCAAATATCAATGCACATATCTTGCGCTTTTGGCGAGCATAAACTTTGATATTCATAACTATACTATGCATAATTGTTGTGCTTGCGAAAAATCCATGAACATCAAAAGAAGGCTTATTATGATAGCGCATGTGATATTTTGGAAAACACCTTCAATTGAGGATACAATTTCATCAAATAGGATAGTTTCAGGAATAGGATATGTAGGACTCTCTAATTGACTGTTAGATGTGAGTTCATAATGAGAAGATGAAAAGAGAGAAGAATTGAAGGCCCTGGTTATATTTTCAGGAAATAAAATCAAATCAATGTAATTGAAGATTGGAGTAATGCTAGAGCTCTCATAATTTCTAATTTATAAGTGTTTATTCTCTATTTTGATTTTTTTTCTATAAAATCGTATTTTTTTAGTGTTTTCAAAGCTAATTTGAGTAATTTCAATGATTTTCTTGATTGCTTCTAACCTCAAGCAAAAATGCAAAGTGGCAAGCACATTCCATATATAGTTACTTAAACTAACTTTACATATCATGAGTGTTTACAATGCAATGCTCCCTGGTATATCTTTAACATGAGCAACTTTTAACCATTTGCCAAAGCTCGGTTATTCATCTCATAATATGATGTTTATTTATTTCTTATAAAAATTAAAGGGTTTTTTTTTGTGAGTGTTGCTCTAGAAAATTATTAATTGAACATTCAAATTATCCTATTGAGCATTTCTTGATATCTTTAAAGCTATTTTGTCTTTAGTTCTGTGTAATATATTTTTTTTTTATGATGCTATTCTGCCCTCATGTCTAACATCATGCTATATCCTCAAAATAAGTATTAATGGTATCTGAATATTTATAGGCGCTGCTGTTGGTTTCCGATTAGATAGTCTTCTCAAACTAACAGATACCCGTGCCACTAACAACAAAACAACTCTTATGCATTATCTGTGTAAGGTATGACTGCACCTTTCTTCCACTATACTTATCTTCTCTTTGGTATATGTTTGAAATGGCTGCACTTTTCCTAATTTAGTCATCTTGTAGATAATTTCAATCAATAGTTGGGTCTCTGGTCCTGTCTGGCGGTGAAAAATTTACTTATGATTGTTAACTATTTGTTAATTCCTTTTGAATCACAAGAAGGCCGTAGCCAACTTTGACAGCTGAATAACTAGGGGTATATCCAGATTCTATTATGAAATGATGCACAAAAATACATTTTCAACCTTGACAGTACAATTAAAAATTCAAAGCCTAGTTAATCTTACACTATATTTTATATTAACAAAATTAAAGCTTTGGAGGGCCTTGCCTATAGGACAAGGTCATAAGACTTATTATTGGATCTACCTAATATCCGAGTTTTAAGTTCCATGAGGCACGCTAAAAGCTTAGGTTGCAAGTCCCAGCCTTCTAGGTAACTTGAAAATACGAAAGCAGGTCCATGTTTCCCCCAACCAGCATTAATGAAAGAACAAGAAGCACATGCGGGACAAGATTGCATGATATAGAAATCTTAGATGCTGAAGCGGCTATGGGGGAAGTTGGGAACACAAGACAACGTAGCAGCTCTAAATCAAGATACGAAGTAGGAATGATTGTTGTGGAGAGATTCTAAACTGTAGGAAGCGAGATTGCACGATGATGAACATGGGAGGAAGCTCAAACAGTCATAAGCAGTAGGGAAAAGAAGAATAAAAAGCTGCCTAAAGAAGCCAGGGCATTGCCCTCAATGCATGGGGGATTGAGGCTTGAGGCTGAGAGGTTCAAATGCGCTCACGGAGAATGAGATGCCGACATCATGAGGCATTGACCCCAGAGGCAAGTAATGCGGGGATCCGTGTGTATGGAAAAGGGCAAGGCAAGGGCACCACTGATGCGAATAATAATGAGAAGGATCGATGAGAGCTTGTATGATTAAATGATGCTGCTTTGTTGCATTGGGGAAGAAGCCATTGACAGTGTTGTGAGGTCATGATGAGTTGAGGGCAATAATTCGCAGTCATGACATGTGGGATGAAAGGTGAGGTACAAATTGTAGCTGGCAGTGGCGAGCTGCCAATAGTGGTGTGCGGGTGTGGCAAGTGAGGCAGAGGTGACCTAGGCGAGATGTGTGTGCTCGGCTCACTTTACTTGTGTGAATTTCCTTTTAGGAGGAGAAAAGCTCATCTTATATATATCAACTGAATTGGCAATCTGATGAGGACATCCGGCCGTGAAAGCTTATCAATGGAGGAGCCAAAGATCTATGGGGGATGTATTATTATTAAAAAAAAAAAAATAGCACTTTGTTCTTGAGAGCTTTCAGAGTTCTTATGAGAGGTGAAGTCCCTAGGTGAGGGCTATGTATTACCCATAGCTGCAGGAAGCATTCAGGCTCATGATTTGAAGTCCCTAGGTGAGGACAAAGTATTACCCATCAGCCGCAGGAAGCGTTCGGGCTCGTGGTTTATCTTCTCCACCGTCTCCCTTGCTTTCTTCAAGTCATCGGCCCCCATCTCCACCATCGTCCCTCCTCTCTCCTAGCCGCCAGCCACCCTCTCTCTTCCTCCTAATTGTCGGCCCAACATCCACCTCCCCTCCTCCTAGCCGTGGCCCAAAGCCTTCTCCTTCCTCTTAATCTCCATCCTCCACCTCTCCTCCTTCCTAGCCGCCGGCCCTAATCCTAATCCTCTCCTAGCCGCCAGCCACATCTCCCATCCTTTGCCTCCAAATTTTCCAGTCTTACTACTTTCCTAAAATAGATCATGACGAATTTGGAAGGATATTAATTCAATCTTGAATCAATTTCAAATTGGAATTCTTTCCTAATTTAACATGAGTTATATTTGGAAAGTTTCTCAATCAAATGAATTTGAATTGAATTCAAATTAAAAGAGATATGGACATTAAATCTCTTTTAATTAAATTGGTTTTGTTTGGAAACTATTTGAAATTCTTCCTAACTCCTCCCTCCCTGCTTTAGCCGCCGGCCCTATCTCTCTCCTCTCTAAATTCTATTTCCATTAAGGCTCTTAAGTACATTTCCAATCAATGTCCATTAAAGAATTTCAAATCCCTAATTGATTACTTTCCATATATGATGCATCTTAAATTATAACTCATTTCGAATTTGAAATTCTTTCCTAAAATAAGAAAAAGTAATATTAGAGAAGTCCCTCAAATCAAGGCCAATTAAATTCTAATTTAATTTAGGGAGTCAATTGCATTAAAGCCTCTTTCTCCATTTAGATTGGCTTTGATTGGCAATCTATCTCAATCTCTTAATTCCCTCCCACATCCCCTCCCCACTCCCATAACCGCCGGCCCTCTCTCTCTCTCCCTCTTTTCCTTTTTACTCCCTTCAATTAATTCTCCCCCCAATCAATCTCCCAAATTAATTTAAGATCTTCTATTTGCTGGAATTAATTTCTAATTTCTAATTTTTAATCATGGTTTGCTTTTGGTTCTACATCACAATCTTCTAGTTTTTTCTTTATATATATATATATATATAAGTAAATTACAAAGGTGATTTTGAAGAATGTAAAAGCATTTATTATATTTTGAGGATTTTGTGATATTTAGCTTTTCTACACCTTCATGATCACGTACCATTAGTTTTTGTCACCTAATCTATGTTACCACGTGCATCAGGTCCTTGATTCAAGGTCATCGCATCTAATGGATTTTCATAAAGATTTTATCAGCCTGGAAGCAGCATCGAAGGTTCTTTTATTTTTTGTCCTTCGGTGCCCTTTATCATTAATTTCCATGATTGTGATCTTGTCTGATTTATTGCTCTCGCAGATACAACTAAAAGCTTTAGCTGATGAGCAGCGAGGTGTTGTCAAAGGACTAGAGAAGCTTGAGACGGAGCTGATTGCTTCAGAAAATGATGGGATAGTATCAGAGGTTTTTTGCAAGGTAGATCATTTATTTGATATAAAAGTTACCTAGCAGTTGTTACTTGTTACATCCTGAATTTCTATTTCATGCTAGTATTAATTAGTTCTTGTTTTAAATTTGTATCAGTCACAGGCTTGCATGCTCACTGCACTCACAAGTAAGCACTTACACCCTCACATACACTGCATATTGATCATAATCAGTAGTACTTTTTCTTCAAATGCTATCTATGATGCACCGATACTTCTCCTCAAAGAGACGTGCAGTGTCTGATACGTATCCGACACGACACCAGTCCGACACTCCTCCGACATGTGTTAGACACGTCGAAAATATGTCCGATTAAAACAATATTAAATACAAATTGGATACACGTATCTTAAATATTTCATAATTTTTTTAAAATATAATCTCTTTGATTTAAAACTTTTACTTATTTAAAATATAAAAACTGAATTTCTTCTTTCCTACCCACAATACCAAATCAATCACCTGCACTTAATATCCCATTCATCGAATATTCTCATTTTCATTTCACTTTGGTAGGTTACAATTTTGATTTCATAATAAGACCTAATGTCATCTCAACATCGACGTCTGACGTCGTTACAACATCAACATTTCAAAATGATCCCCATATCAAAGTCTGACGTTGTCTTTATATTGATGCTCAACACCCACAACTTGACATATCATATTTGTCCAACGCATTCTCAACATCAACGACCAACTCCCTCTAAACATCGATGATAAACGCCCTCTTAACATTGACATCCAATATTTACTACATAACCTCAATGCCCGACTCTCGACAGCATTGTCATCCATCTCTCGATAAATGATAAACGACATTGATGCCCGACTTTTGTCATCCTAGTATTAATCATTTTAAGCACAAATTCTAGTTAAATGAATTATTATTTCTAAATTATTTTTAAAATTATACTTATTCAATTATTATACACTATTTTTAAAATATAAAAATTATTCAGAGTGATTGTGAAATTGATGGAGATATTATCAGCAGAATTCAAGTTGGATGGTTGAAGGAGGAATGCATCGGGCTTATTGTGCGATAGAAAAGTCCCCCTCAAACTTAAGGGAAAATTCTATAATATGGTGGTGAGACCTGCAATGATTTATGGTGCCGAATGTTGGCCATTAAAAGAGAAGCATCATACTAAGTTAAGTGTTGCAGAGATGAGGATGTTTAGGTGGATGAGTGGCTTGACCCTTAGAGATAGGATACGAAATGAGCATATACATGAAAAGGTTAGAGTAGCTCCATTTGAAGGGAAGATTAGAGAGACTCGCCTTAGATGGTTTGGTCACATTAAACGGAGGCCTTTCGATGATTCGGTTAGGAAAGTTGAGATATTAGATTTGACTTATGTTAAGAAAGGTAGAGGTAGACCTAAAAAGACTTTGTTAGAAAATATTAGAAATGATCTTTCTTTATTAGATTTAAATGAGAATTTGACTTTTAACCAGACACAATGGCAAAAAAGGATTCATGTAGCCGACCCCACGTAGTGGGACAAAGGCTTGATGTTGTTCTTGTATAATATTGTGTCCAACCTGTGTCGGTGTCCTATATTTTTAATAATTGACATGTCTCGTGTCATTGTCGTGTCGTGCGTGTCCGTGTTGCCGTGTCCATGTCAGTGCATCATAGAATGCGATTGATTCCTTTGTGATGCAGCCATCGAACACAAAGTCAAGGTAGTTCATGCTTATTTCATCATCATCAACATCATCAGCATAATCATTAGCGTGATACCAGCTATTATTGGTGGGTTTCCTTGTGGTCCTCCACAGTTCATTCTTGTTGACTCTTATATGTGGCATTAATTCTAGTTTTCTTATGCCACTTTGCACAACTAGCTTTGTCACCCTTTGTTCCCATTTTCTTCCTCTTGCTTTCATGTGACATCCATATTCTACCTCGTTGGTGCATCCTTTTCTCTAATGTATATTCTTAAACCCTCTAATATCTTTACAGCCTTTACTTTAACTTTGATGTAGTAAGTCAGTATAGCCAGCATTCAACCAATTTAGACTCTGTTTTTTAACGAGTTTAACGTGTCCATTTGTTCATTTTCTATCTCCGCCGCATTCCTTTATAATATACAGGTATATAGTTATTTAGAGGTCAATAAACAATTATATTTCATTTTTTGGTGATTTTATCCATCTATTTGTATTGCTTTTTCATCATTCTAAATTATGAAATAAATAGCTTTATAAATTGATATAAAATAAATTTTTTATTTATTAAATAGTTTGTTTTTGAAAATTTTAAAATTTAAATCTTAAATGAAAGAAATAAAAAGTTTGAACTATGCTTTTAGTATCAAAAATCAAATAAGTCAACAATGTGAAAAAATAATTTATAAAAACTGTTAAATGATCTCTTCAAAGTCGATTGCACTCTTTAAAATGGTTTGAAAAGAATATTAATTTCACCACACATTGAGTGAAAACTACTATGTGGGGCCTTTTTGAAAATTTGAGGTATTTTCCCTTTCTTTATAATTTTTTTTTTCAGATCCCAATAAGTTCTAGAGGTCAACATTTCAAAATAGAGTACTCATTGCCCATCTATTTTTTTTTTATTTTCACTTCTCAGTCCTTTAATGTGTAGTATATAGACTAGAAAATATTTACAATAATAAGTCTTATTCAAAATGGCAAACTACCCTAAAATTGCTAAGGAAATTGCGAACTAGTCCAAAATGTAATTTGAAGATAACTAAAGAAAAACTAACATAAAACATAACACAAACCATAAAACTTGCTCAATGATATTATGATTGCATCCAAGAACAAGTATCATATGTACTATAAATTTCTATTTTGGTTTTGTTTTTATATTTATTATTCTCAAAACCTCTCATAAAAATCTCATGAGTGTAAAAATCATGAGCTATCCAACTATGCCTTTATTTACAAATTGGATTGTTCACAAAAAATATTTTATAAGTTGGAGGGGTATCAAGTGAAGTTAAACAAATCGACTTAAACTCAAAATTAATGAATTCAATTTCGCTTCGAGCATGTTCGAGTCGAGTTGAAAGTTACTGACATTGTGTCAACTTTCAAAGTAATTTGAGACTTTTACCTATATATTGTTTATGTTATGTAATTATAAATATATGTATAAGTATTTTCAGCATGAGGGGAGGCTTGTTTGGGATTTGTGCTACCTGGATTAGAGAGAGAGAGAGAGAGAGAGAGAGAGGGAGATCAGCTGTATGTATAAGTGTTTCATGATTTCATCCCTTACAGCTTAACAGTTACGATGATTCCCACAATCATGCATTAGTACATTTGGCTTTAAAAAATTCTTGCTTATGGTCTTTCGTATCTTTTTGTTGACAATGACTCATACTCCTTCAGAGGTTGAAGGACTTTACTGTGGCTGCTGGTGCTGAAGTACGATCACTAACAGCACTTTATACTGCTGTGGTACGGTGCTGACTTCTATAATATTTGAAATGTTATGTTTTGAGTAGTCTCTAATATTAGATCGAAAATAACGCCTTTCTCACCCCCTTCTATTTCTGGCAGGAAAACAATGCAGATGGTCTTGCCCTTTATTTTGGTGAAGATCCTGCCGGTTGTCCCTTTGAACAAGGTGAGAATATATTTCCCCTTTCTTGAATTAATTAAACTTGCAAGCTTTCTAAAATTTATTTCTGAAAAATGAAGAACGGAAATTAGGAGAAGATTGATTTTTTTTGGTTGTTTTATCTGAATGTTGTATAATGGAAACCGAAGGGGGAAGTCAGAGTTCACTTTGTTGTAGCTTATGATTTAGCAATGCCATAGAAGTATCTTGAGGGAAGGAAAATAATTGAAAATTTAGAACTATCTGCTGAGGCTTCGTTTGGGACGGCTTTTTTATTGCTTCTTAAAGAAGTTTTCTTGTAAAAAAATTAAAAATTTTGTACTAAAACGCTGCTTTAAGAAGCTATAAGAAAGCCGTTTCAAACGAAACCTAAATCATGTGTTTCTAAGATGAATTCATGTCATGGAAGTATTACAAGGTAATCCGTAACAGAATCATGCTAAAAGCTATCGTAAGAAACACAGACCAGATTCCTTGCATCTGTATAATCATAATGAGAGGAATAGGAGATGCATTATTAGATGCACAATTGTAAAGTCACCAAGCATATAGCGAAGAGTTGTTAATCGTTAACTAAGGGGCGGTTGCCTGAAAAAGGAATGCTGTGAAAAGTAAATATAATGTATTTAACATGCTTTGGAGTTGTTTGGTTCTCTGTAAAGTAATGTAGGAGATTTTTTTGTGAGGCATGTGCAGTGTAGAGTAAAAGCAGAGTATCTAAATACTTTTGTGCTATTTGATATGATGTGCAATATCAAGTGCAGTTTACTATTGAAATGGAATAACAATAATCCTATTCAATGTTTTAATATAATATATTTATTATTTGAACAATATGAAATTTTCATATATTGGAGTATTTAAAAATAGAAGTCAGGCACTTGAAAATGAGCAATCATATTTAGAGTAAATTTAATATTGTTATGAACATACTCAACATTATCATTAATATTTCATAAATCTAAAATACATTTGAAGACACTGCAACTGTAAATGTTTATATATGTACAAATGTACTACAAAATAACTCCAAAAATATTTAGCCATTACAATTCAAAAGTCTAACATTTTCTACAACATAAATCATTTTCATAGCTCTTTACACATCCATCTAGCCTTCGATTTCATAGGTTTTGAGAAGAATGATTGTATCATTGTAGGATTCTTCGATAAGTTGTCATATATCGTATTAATCTCCTCCTCCAAAAAGCTAGGTATACTTGAAAGCTTAGTCATGAGCTCAGTGAACATTTTTCTTTCTTAGGATCTTGCTGTACTCTGGATAGCATTATCTACTTGAGTAATACTATCAACCATCATGATAATATACTCACGGAGTGTTCGATCAATGGCAGACACTTTAACTTTTTTTTTGCGTCACATCCTCTGGTAGATAAAGATGATGGCCTCTTTGTTATTCATATGGAATCTTCTATAAAATTTATATCAGCCGAATAACCTACTTTCGATGCATCTACACTAGCATCTATAAATCCTTAGGGCTTTTCATCTTCTAAATATATTTGTTGGGTCCGGAGTGAAGCTTGAGAATTTCCAAATATAGCACACTCTCTAGTAGCATGTCCTTCACCAGATACCTTCTCCAACTCCATATAATTTGCAATTGGAACATTTATATAAACAGTGCCTTTGGAAAAGCCTGTGACATAATAAACTACAAAATATTAACTTGATATTATTATTTTTAAACAAGTGATGGATACCTAAATGTGTGATGCGTACTCCTCATGGCTTATCACTATCATCTTCTTTGTTTCGTCCCAAGATACCCCTGATTTTCTTTTGAGATCTTGAATGTGAGTCCATATTGTTTGTTGATGTCGAATTTAATTCTTACATTGCTCTTTTGTGACCTTTATACCAAAATTTTCTTTAAATTTTTGGGCGGCTCCTTGATAAATAGATTCTTTGAAATTTTGGGCACTTTGTATATTAACATCTACATATTCTTCAGTCATTATTTGTAATAACTCAACAATCCAATCTGGTTTTAGGCTAAAAAATTTTTCCTTCTCGTACTTTTAGAACCGAATGGGATATTTGCTTGTGAATCCATTATCCTAAGCATATTTAAAACCATTTATAGCAAATAGAATATATAATTTGCAAAACGTTGAAATTGAAATAAATGAAGAAATTAAAGTATCATTTATATCAAGAAAATATTATTATAAAACAAATATTTGTTTGTGGTGGATCCATGTGAGTAAACAGAATAATATTTATGTCAAAACATACTACAAAATACATCAATATTTCTCAAAAAAAAAAAAAAAAAAAAAAAAAAAAATCTAAAAAAAAAAAAAAAAAAAAGAAAGAAAAGATCTAGTGTCCATCATTTTGCATGCGAGTGCACATTGCTTGTGCAATTTCATCACATTTCTCCATCTATTCTCGGGAATCATCTACAATTTCTTGAACTCTGCTTCTATAATTAATCCTTCGAGCCCATGCATCCTCGGAGAGAATGAAATTATCACCACCTTCTGTTAAAGATATAAATCAGGAACATTGTTTTTCTTTCATTTTATATGTTCTTCAGACCTCAAAGACGATATAACAACATAATAAATTAGATAATTGTCTTCCTTAAAAGCAAGTTATGGTAAGCATGACTGTAAAAGTGGCATATCTTAATCTTAGTATCTTCCCAAGAAAGCAACCGTCTTCTTTATTCTATAAAAAAAAAAAGGGTTTTTTAATTGGTTTCGGTTTAAAGCTCTCAATGTGGATGTTCATGCTTTGAGCTGCTTATGCATGCAAGAGATGTAAGTATCGGACTATTCCGTATAGGGTGCAGAAATTAATTACCTCCTCTAATTCGTTAGTTATAAATAATATTTGAAGATCCTTCTCTTTGTCTTTGGTGATTTCTCAAGCGAACAGAAAGAACACAGTTGGCCTGTCCTCCAGCAAAGACGGGAAGCCTTCTTCTCCACCGAAGACGCTATTTGGGCTACGGATTTCCTGGGTAGGACGAGAGGGCGAAGGAGTGTAGAACACATGCGGTTCCTGTCACGAGTTAGGCGATAGATTTCCTGAGCGGGATAGGAGGGCGAAGGAGCGAAGAACGCCTGCGGGGAGGATGGTTGAGATTTCTCTCCTTTTTGCGGGAGAAAGTTGTGGTGTATTTACAACTCGCTCGATTTTAGTCGGTTTCAAATACACGTCGGAGAGAATTAGTAATGTTTTACTTCACTACTATAGTTTTGCCTCGTACCAAATGCGAAAAAATTGAAAAGCCATGTATTCGGATTGTAGTGCACACTAATTACCGCAAACCAAATAGCCCCTAAGGTGGTCAAAAAAGCACGTTTGAATAATTTTCGAACAAATGAACTAAATGGCATTTAAAAATTAATATGAATTGAATCATAAAATATGATATCGCTTTGAAAAAAATGGAATTTCTTAAAGAAAATTACAATAAAATAAATATTAGGGAAATACAAATTAATATTTTGAAAACGAGTTGAGACGCTGGGAATTTTAATTTGTTTCATTTGGTTAAACTAGTTAGCATTTACATATGAATTTAATTCTTTAGGCAGTTAGAATGGTATTGCTTCCGCAATACGGCCTTCTTACATCCCTTTTTTATTTGAGCTAGGACGCGGCATTGCAGCTTGGATTTTTCATTTCTCCGTCTATCTTAATTTTCTTTCCACAATAACCTAAGCAGAATTTGAGTTGCAAAAGCTTGTTTTATTTATATTCATTGTAGTTATCACCACCCTTCTGAATTTTGTCCGAATGTTTCGGCGCGCACATGAAGAGAACTGTAAGCTAGCTGCACTTGAGAAGAAAAATACCCTGAAAGATGCCGACACAGATGGGCCTAAAAGTGCAAATTCTATAAATAAGCATGGTAGGTGATAGCGCTCTGCAAGCCTTGCAGGTGATTTCAGTTCCCGCTTGGTCGGGAAATCCAAGATCGCCATTTTTGGTTAGGACGGCATGTAGAGAAAGCTGACCTACTTTTCTGACTTGAACATGTAAATATATTCCATTGGGAGCTTCTGCAATGGTAAAATTTTCAATATTTTCAGGTTCCCCATTAGAATCTCTATTCTCTTGCTAACTTCATCTGCTTCTTCTTGTACAGGTATTTTTGAGACCAAGGCTGATCCCTCCTAGTTTGTGCAGAATCCATTATCCACTAACCGGTGCACAAATGTAACCCCATAGTTGATACGATTCTTTTTTTTTTTTCTTTCTTTCTTTGCAATTCTATTTTTAGTTGCAAGTAGAAATAGGTCAAATGCTGTTGTATTATAGTTATTTTGCATTCATTCCTGTAGTATATTGTAATAGAGTACCCTTAAGCAGCTGGCTTTTATATCACGGCCTTTTTATCTCGTTGTGCCTCTGAATTATCTGCAGCCCCTTTGCTGCAATGAATTGCATGGTTCCAGCTGAGACCAATTATCCAGAATTATACTAATACATTTTCATTGCATGATATACTTTGTTGAAGTGAAATTTTACACTAAACCTTACGACACTGTTTTCAACTTGTACATTCTAGTTAAATTTTAGTATGTCGAGTTCACAGAAGCTGATAGCCACTTTAAAAAAATTTAGAAATTGTTTGTTCTTGTATGTGCCTTTGTTAGTGTCTCCATTAACACGGCTAGTTTGCTTATGATCACTTCTGTGCTAAGTTCATTTTAATTTATTGATTGAGAGTTTAGGCTGCCAATCAAGGGATGTTACTCAAAGATAGTTTAATTGTAGAATCAAAATAGGTTCTTAGAAGTCATTTTAGTGAATGTAAATTTAATAATTATCAATCAATAGTATTGAAATAAATATTTATAATCAGATGCCATAAGTTTATCTTAGGATCATAAATTTTCAATTAGAAACTTTGGATTGAAAAAAGCTTTTGATATTTCATCAAAAAATTATCTTGATCCATCACGAATCTCAAGGCAAATTTAAATAGGAAAATTTCAAAATTAAATCTGAAATCATCCAAATTCCGATTTCAACAAATTTATAGTCTAATTGAACGTCTTGAAAAGATGAACATAATGACATTAAATTCGATTGAATCTAAGCCCACATGGGTCCAAAATGAGGACCTGAAGCGCATTTGGAAGGTTTAAAACATAAACTTGATGAGCAAATGATTTATAGTCGAGCGGCTCATGACACAAATCCAACAAGCCCAAGATCATCGGATTCAGACATCACTAAGGCACTCAAATACTCAATAAATAGTCCATGATTATGGGAATTGATATTGGTAGTCCATTCAAACCACTCCCAATATGCCCTTGACCTGCTTCCTATTTATTAGCCATGCCACTCCAAAAGAAAATATAAATAGACCCCTCCTTCACTGAAGGGGGGATGGGGAAGAAAGTAAGGGAGGAGAAGAGAAAAAGGAAGGGAAAATCATAATTTCTTTTGCCACCAAGGTCTTCCTTGACCACCGCTCAGCCACCGATCATCACTAGACTTTCGTTGAACTTTTGCCCAGCCACCAACTATCGTCGGACTTCTGTCAAGCCACTAGTCATTGTCGGACTCACGCTCGGTCATCGACCGTCACTAACTACGGTCTTTCCGACCTCCATCGCCAGTCAATTACGGTCTCTTCGACCATCATCTCCAAACTACGACCTCCTCGATCGTCGTCGTCCGACTACGATCCTTCCGACCATCGTCATCCTAGTACTGTCTTTTCGACCTGCAGCACTTGCAGACTATAGTCCTGTCAACCATCGTCACCCGACTACGGTCTTTCCAACCTCAGTCACCTGTCGATTACAATCATTTCAACCTCTGTTGCCCACCAATTATGGTCCTTCTGACCACCGTCATCCAACTACTGTCTTTTGAATCATCGTCACCCGAATACGGTCTTTCTAACTTCCGTTGCCCGCTAACCATGATTCTTTCGACCACTGTCACCAGACTACGGTCTTTCTGACCTTCGTAGTCTGCCGACTACGGTCATTCCGACCATCGTCACCCGACTATGGTCTTTCCAACCTTTGTCTTCATTTGACTACAGTGCTTCCAACTTCCATCATTTGACTACGGTCCTTCCGACTACCGTCAACTGACTATGATCTTTCCAACCTCCGTCCCCCGCCAACTACGGTTCTTCTAACCACCGTCGTCGAACTACGGTATTTTCAACATCTGTCGCCCAACTACAATCCTTTTGACCTACATTGTAAAGTCCATTGTGCTCCCAGGTTCGTCCGGACGAAGTCGGATCGTCCGGGACGATCGGTACAGGTTGTGCAGGAAAACATGTTTGGCTGCATGGTTCGTCTGGACGAAATTTGGATCGTCTGGACGAAAATTTTACAGAGCCCAGTCGTCCAGGGACGATAATTAATTTCGTCTGGACGAAATTCGTCCAGAGCCACTTCGTCCCGGGACGAAGTTGCGATCGTCCGGGACGATCAGTCTGGATATATATAGAAATGAGATATTTTGAAGAGAGAGAAAAGCCCATGAGAGAGAAAAATGAAGAAAAAAGAAGGAAAAGTGATTTTTGGACGACTCCCGTCCGTTTTCGTCCGTTGCAGTAGTTCAAGAAATTGGTGTACGCAAGGTAAGACACATTCTGCCTTTCTCAATTTTCAGAACGGTGAAGTTTGAACGATTTTTCTGTCCGGATTTCGTTTTCGTTAGCGAATTTCGTCAGTATTTTCCGATTGGTTCAGTTTTTACCGCGTAACTTTTGGTATGTTTCTGGGGTGCCGAGTGCGCACATTTGATTATTTTTTGGAGAATTTTGACCGGATAGTTTTGATTCGGCAGTATTTTATTTTGATTGTAATTTCTGATGAAGTCTAAAATTGTTTGGGCAGTAGAATAAAAGTCTTGCAATGTTGTTGTGAATATTCTGTGCTAATTTGGTAATTTGTGAATTTAGGAATTTTTGTATAAATTCCGTATACTGCCGTTATGTCGCTGGATTTTCGTACGATTTCTGAAATTGTCCGGATTTGTTATGAAATGACATGATATGATTGTGTGCTATGAAAAGTGAGTTATAAGGGGTCAGGATCCTGTGAGATCCTGTCTGTGTCAGGGAAAATTTGAAATGAGCTCTGAAATCTAAAAACAAGTTCTGTTATGGATCCGATGATAAGTTCTGTTCTGGTGCTATAAGCACATCTGTTCTGGTGCCATGAGCACAAAGGGAGGCATAAGGGGCCAGAATCCGAGAGATTCTGTCAGTGTCTGGGAAGGGGGTATAAGGGGCCAGAATCCGTTGAGATTTTGTCAGGGTCAGGGAATCTGTTCTGACTTTTGATATGTTCTGAAGTGATATGATTTCTAATTTCTGTACGATTTTGATATGAGTTATGATTTTGTTCAGTTCTGATTTGATCTGATTCTATATACGATTCTGTTCTGTTCTGATTTGATCTGATTCTGATATGATTCTGTTCTGTTCTGATTTCTGTACGGATTTTGTCTGATGTGTTTGATGTGGATTCTGAGGATTATGATTGGAGGTTTGATGTCTTGCTGAGCTGTTGTAGCTCATCCTTGTTTTCTGCGTGGTTTTCAGGTTCTGGGAAAGGGAAGGAAGTCTTGGAGTAGGAGTTCAGAGTCTGATCTGTTATAGGTATTTTGTACTTTTGATCTTTTGTACAGTCATGGCTTTTCTCTTCTATTTTTCTTTCTGTTTGAAAGCCATGTGTTGTGTTTGTATATCTCTTTTGAGGAAGAAAAAGATAGATGATCTGTTCCGCTGTATTTTGATGTTTATAGTAGCTCTGTGTGTGTCTGTTTCTGTGTGTAAATGTTTGGAAGAAAGTTCTGAAACAAATTCCAAAACCAGATCTTGGAATCAGTTCAGTCAGTTTGAGTTTGGATCACGACCCGATGCGAGCGGGATCCGTCCCGGTCGGGTTGGGTCGTGACATACATCACTCACTGACTATGCTCCTGCCGACCAAACAAATATGTCAACACTGATTCTTCTAACTCTCACAATGTAATGCACTCTATATAATGTGTATTGTCTACATTGAGTCAAGCCCTTCCCTCCAATGAAGGTTCTCATTTGTAATCAACTGCAAACAATAGTGAATTTATTTAAACTAGGCAAGACCCAGTTTTTTTTTTTCTTTTTCCATGTGTTTCCACGTAAAAATTTTGGTATCTCGTATACACCCCCATCTTTTATTTGTATGTGTACTGAATTTTTATACACGGCTAAGATGCTAAACTATATCTCTCTCTATCACCGTGAATATTCGAGGACTCAACAACTTTAAAGTAAGATGATGCTAAGCTAGTCATGATTGTATTTTAACAAGATATGATGATTTAATCACTTCAACTTAAGAAGTCAATATTATCATTAGTCTTATCCCAACTATTAGATAGTTGGATATTAAGTTTGACTCATATTTCAAAGTCATGTTTAAGTTTCTGAAATACTTGAATCTCACTAATTAAGATTTCGTTTTAGACAACTTTTTACTAAGTAATTTTTGTACTAGAAAGCTATTTTAGAAAGCGATGAAAAAACTGTCCTAAATAAAGCCTAAATATGTTTAAGGGCATGCTTAATTTATATTCTTCTGCTTGTTAAACGGATTAAGTTTTTGGTCTCAACAAATTAGTCAAGAACAAAATTTAAATTTGTAGGTTTTCAGGTTAATATTAAATTACCATTCATTTTTAGCATAAAATAGGTTTGCCAATTTATTAGGATAATTTATTATTTTAATAACTTTTAAATCCACGTTTAAACATGTTTTGAATTTGAAATCACCTCATTAAATTTATATATTTCATTTGAAGAAGTAAAATATAGAAGTTCAAATAGAGCGTTAAATCAAAGAGAAGAGAGAAAAAAAAAAAAAAAGAAATCATTATAAAAAAATTTGTACTACATCGGAGTGTCATTTGGATGAATTGGAAGCATTAATATGTCAAAATTTTTGCATTGATTTCATAGAGGTGTGTAAAGGTGCCTTTTGAGGAATTTTTACTATCCATCCTGAGTTATTTTCTTTCTTGATTGTCTTGAGAGATTTAGGCCTTAAATAATTTTTTGTGAGATTGGTGTTCTTTGATTTAGGAAAAAGTGGATTCATGTATCTTTTTTTTTTAAAAATTTATTTATTATGGTAAGTGGATTTTGGATTTAGTTTGCTTATATTAGATATATCCTAGTTATTTTCCACTTTTAAGCCATATACTACTGGTTGTGTTTATATGGAAAATAATGTTATGTGCAAGATGGTTTGTTCTAACTTCTAGTACTGTTAAGTTGATGATACATAATGATATGCTTAAGATATTAGCAAAGAGTCAAGCATTTGCCATACCTTAAAATGAATTTGTATATTTGATTGCCCTTAAATATTCTATGGTTGTTGACATCCTTAAGGTGCATACATATGCATTAATTGCCATGAAGTTGAAGAGAATTAGATTTCATTTGAGACAGTTTTCTTTCTGCTTTCTAAAACATCTTTTTAGTATAAAATTTTCTGGAACTTAAAATTTTTGTACTAAAAAACTGCTTTAGAAAATCTTAAGAAGGCTATCTCAAACGAAATCTTAATATACTCTATGAATTACATGCTATAAGCTTGAGTAGAGTTGCTTCAGCTTCATCATCTATATTGGATAAATATGACTTGGGAAAAAAAATCTTCTTGATTGCAAAGATGGGTATAAGTTTTGAAGGAAAATTTCTGGAGGTGATCATCAAGTTGGTGAATTTTATGTTGTAAAGTCTCTCTCTATGTCAAGTCATTTAGGACAACTGCACTTTTAGTATCAATGGATCCATCTTGGCGTGCAAGCTGCATGCTTTAAATATCTCTTGCAGATATTAAGTTGAATTATTGTTTAAGCTTCATGAGATTGTATGATTTTCAAACCTTTGGGATTTTATGAATTCAAGTGCTCATTGGGAAACGGTCAGATAAAAAATAAAGATTTAGTACAGTATTATTAAGTCAAGACTATGATTTGATAATTTTATCCTCAATGTTTTAATCAAGCACAAAATTTGAATTACTTGGTTGTGAGGATAATAAAAATTTATTACTGACTTTAAGGATAAAAATAGTTATGATATTCTGTTAGGATAATTAATTAGTTTTGGATAACTTTTAAGTCAAAGTTTAGATCTGAATTAAAGATTTCTATAAAATTGAGAGCATGCATTATAGCTCTGCAATGACAAGTTAATTGAAGCATGCATTAAAGTTGAGAGCATGGTGTGACAAATTTGTAAGAACAAAGTTTGCCACGTGACTTAGGGTTTGATTGGAGTGAAATTATTATTTGCGGTCAACGGATATCGTTCGGAGGTCAATCATGATGCATCACGTTACCAATATGTTATGTACCGTTATTTATCCGGTGACATAGCGCATTCTGATAGGCCTACGGACAATTCAGTGGTCGCATGTAATAATCTCTCCTGATTGGGATGCCAGCGATGTTTTATAAAATTAATTGTGTAGAAAATAACTTCTATATTATGATGATAGAGAATAACTTTCCACCATAAATTAAAAAATATATATAGTGAAAAAACAATAATCAAATAAAATTATAATATTGTCTAAAATATATAAAACAGTCAGAAAGTTATCTCAAACAAACTCTTAGGTATCTTATTTCAAGAATTCAAATTTGAACTTATAACCTGTGGTTAAAACTGCAGTCATGAATTTAAATACACTGAACTAACTTTCATAAAAGCTGAATTGGAATATTTGTAACACCAGAATCCAGCTGATTGAAAACAACTTACTGATTGGTTCAAGTTCTTTTTTTTATGATTCGAGGTCCATTTTAGGTACAGTTTTTCCCTTCTGCTTTAGCTTAGCTGAGCTTTTGGAACCTGTAGTTTGATCATAAGTTTGACCCCCAAATGATTATGCTAGGCTAAGAATGAAATAATGGATAATCCGGGAACAGTATTTTATAAGCATTTGACCAGAAAAAAAAAATTAAAAACTTAGGGGCTGTTTGGTAGCACCTAGGATTTGATTTATGCAGATTTTTATAAATCCTCTAAGTCAGGATTTAAGAAATTCCGAGGGGCCTAAATTCTGAAAACTATTTGGTAACATTCAATGATAAATCCTATTAAATCTCGTGTAACTATTTGACTATAAAGCAGATTTAACTAGCAAATTCTTCCTCTCGAGCCAATGGATTTCATAAATCCGGCAAAAAATAGAATTTTAAAAATCCGGAATTTAGCACGAAAAGACGAAATTTTTCGTCTACGACGGCTTTAATTTGCCGTGAGATTTGGTTTTGCATTTTAGGCCGTTTGGCTGAATTTCACTCAAATCCATCTCAAATCCAGCCTAAATCCTGCTATCAAACAGCCCCTTAGAGAGAAAATTAAAGAAAAATTTTAGTCAAATTTATTCTTTTGTTTTTTTCTATGAATCTGTTTCTATGCATATATTTTCAAAGAGCAACCACCAAAGCTCTTGTCACAAACAGAAGATAGCTAAACTTCAATTAACCCTGTCGTTATCCAACGTATTAAGAATATTATCTCACAATACGAACCAATAGCAGTCCACCGTTAATTGCAATTAGTAAGCCCTTAGGCCTTAGTAGCCGCCCCTACAATTAAAATTCCACAACTAACCTATAAACTATAAATGCTTTGCTTACCTAACCCTTAAAATATTAGAAAACAGAGAAAACAAAACCAATTAATAGTTCTCTGTACCAATCATAAATCCAAATCATGTACAGTTTATTAGCTTCATTTCCAAGGCTGATATATATACTGTATAAAGGACTATTCATTCAAAGTGTTTGATGTGATCAATTAGACCAAGACTGATTTCTCCTATATATCTATCTACACAAAAAATTACTAATCAAGGAGAAACAGCCTCATTAAGATCAACAAGCAAAATGAAGAGAGAGAGAGAGAGAGAGAGAGATTAGGAGCTTGGATTAGGAGGAGAGCTTGTAGTTGGTTTAGTAATGCTAAAATTGGAATTGGAGGGGGCCCATAAATCAGCACCATTAGTGTTGGGTACTTGCAAAGTGCAGGTGAGAGGTACCAGGCACAGCCCCCGGCTCTGAAGATCTTCCAGCTTCATTCCCCCTTCCTCTTTGCCCTGCAAAACCCAAAGTTAATAGCTTGGTAATTGTACAAGAAACTAATCAAAGCAATACAAAAGGCTACAAAAGAAGCTAACTAAAATAAATTAGAAATTTTTGACCAATCACAACAAATGTGGAAATCCCTTGGATTACAGTCTATATATAATCTTGAATTGATGACATGACATTTAATTGCTAAATTGACATCATAATCAACCACCTAGGCATTCTTGACATTACTTCATATGAAGAGTGGTTGCCTCTCTTTTTTTTTTTTCAGGTCTTAGTATAAGTTGTATTATGAAGAGTGATTTCCTTAATAGCCTAACCAATCCTTTTATATGGTTTGATCTTTTGAGAGATGTATGGAGTTCTATTCTCTTCTTTAAGTGATTTTAAGTTCATAATAGTTTACTACAATAGCATGAGTTATGTAGCCAACCAAGAGTGGCTATCATAGTTATCTGTAGATGTGTGAGAGATATTATTCACTTAAGCAACAACCTTGCATAAAGGTGTAAAAATGATACAATTAACAATGGCGAAAGTGAGATTATGGGCGAAGTATTGAAAAAAATGGATGCAACATAAATCTTGATGGAGAAAATTATGGCATAAGTGAGGAACGTTGCAAATATAAATCGTTAAGGAAATGACAATAGCACAAGCGAGTTTTTCGATCATGTTATAAAGAAGACGATTTCAATGCAAGCAAGGTTACATTCAAAGTCTCAAAGGAGATGATTACAATGAAGCAATATTGCAATGCAAATAATTTAGATCCAGTGATAACAACAATGCAATGTTGCATTATAGACCTTGTAAGAGATGGCCTTTGAATGAACAAGGTTCTAATTCAAGTCTATAAGGAGATGGCTACAACACATGAAGGAGATGGTTATTATGTAAGAAAGGTTATGGTGCAGGTATGAGTATGTAGTGGCATAAGTGATGTTGCAATGTAAGACATAAGATAGGTGACATGATGTCATTGAAAGAGAGGTAACAATGCTTATGAAGGAAACACTGAATGTTGATGATGGATGAGGTATTGCATTGATAAAAGGGGAATCTTGATCACTATAGGAAAATAGCCCAGTACCGACAGCGATTTCGACGGAAATGACTCTTTTCTGGTGGTTTTTAAAATTTTCGGTTGTTTTATAATAAACCGCTTAGGAAATTAAAAGGCGGTGATATTTCCCACAGTTTACTGGCTGCTATAATGGCTGGAAATTTCCGATTCCAACGCCGCAGGGAAACTATCGAAATTTACTAGTGCAATGGCCGTAAAGAAACCGTCAACACTTACCGGCGGTATTATCGGCGATCAAATCGTTGCTTTGTACCTGCATATTTAATTGCTGCTTTGTACCAGCAATTAGATAATTGATAGGAAAAATCGTCGGTATTCAGTGAATTTCCTATAGGGATACTACAGGAAAAACGCTCGTTATTGGCGGCCAAAATCTGTCGGTAACCATGGAAATCCACAGGTAAAATTTCGTTTCTAGCGGATTTCTAACGAAAATTCGAATGATGATAAATTAAGCCGGAAAATTTATTTCGGAGGAAATTTTCGGACTTACTGGCGGAATTCCGATGGAAAAATCGAAACAGAAACGTCGTTCTCCTGGCATGATTTCCGGCGTTTTACTCGGTGGAAAGCTACCACCGGTATTTCCGGCAGACTATTCGCCGGATGATTTCACTTGATGATTACCGGCGAAAACATCTAGCGGTTAACCCGTCGGAAATACCGGCAATAGGTTTCCGCCGAAACATCCGAAACATCGATACAATTTCATCGTATAACTATTTCCGGCGAATGTCAATTAAGGATGCAACTTTAAGTCGATAAAGTAAGAAACTTGATGTCAATGAACAATGCATCTTTAAATCAATGAAAGAGGTTAATCAGTGTCGATGAAGAGAGTGACTTTGTGTTGAAAAAGAAGAGGATTTGACGTTGATACAACAAAAATGACAGCAACTTTGGGCTACTTGATGTAGAACAAGGAAGCGACTTGATGTTTGTTGATCAGCAAGACATACCTTACACATAAATTAATCTTGGCAGTGATTGTAAATATGTTTCCTTCTAAAGAGAGGATGAAAATTCAATCATTCACCTAACAGTTTTAAATATTATAAATGATTTTCTATTAATTTAGGCTAAAACAAACTATTTTTGTCTTCCAATTAAACAAATTAATTGTGATCAATCATAAGACTTTAAGACACTTCCCCTTTCAAAATCTTAACCATAATTTAGTTATTTTTAAGCTTCATTTATTTATTCAATTTTCAATCACTTAACTCAATAAAACCAACAATTTACGCATTATTATTTCTATTTTTATTATTATATTGCAGCATGGTAGGGTAGCATTTTTCCTTTTTGTTTGCATTTTGGGAATCCTTTTAACTTAGTTTTTTGGTAAGGATTTTTGCCAGAGTGATCAAGTGGAAACACATCAGTCAAATTACCTGTAACGAGCCAGAAGTTGGCAGAGGTTGAAGCAGGTACGGTGAGCTCAGGACCTGACAAAAAAAAATGATCCTGCTTTGAGAGAGAAAGAAGTGAAACAGTAAGGTAAATAAATATCTATACACAACTCTCCTTGGCCTATTGGTTGAGAGCTTAGGCTTCCAACTAAGAAGTCCAAGGTTCGAGTCTATGTGTCTGCATTATGCGTGTGAGTTTGTCTTTATTGGCTTAAATGTCCCAAAAAAATAAAAATAAATATCTATGAGAAATTATTAGATGTTAATCTTGACAAATTATTAGGTGCGAACAGAAAGAATCATTTCAAATTTCTCTCTGTTTATAAAAAAAACGTAATCAAAATACAATCAAATCATAGTAACTGTAATAGCTGTGCTTTGACTATATAGATAGAGAAAAAATCGGATGATAATTCTCTCCATCTGATATCCGCACCTAATAATTTCTAGCTAATCTGCGTTACTTTATAAATTTAAATGTACTAAATATACCAATTATTTAAATATTTTCCACACCAACATCTTCTCGCACTTTAGACCAGAAGAGAGAGAGAGAAGCACCTGAACCTGTTCGTGGAGGAAGCGGATATAAGCCAAAGCTTCGTGGAGAACCGAGGCTGTATCAGACTGCACCAATGGCCAAACAATCCGCCATAGTCAAACTCATTCAACTCCAGTTTTCAGATTACATTCCAACAGTGGACCCAAAAACAAGAAAAACAAAAAAAGATTGGAAGAAGAAATCACACACACCTTCCCAAAGGGCGAAACCAGCTGCTGCAATGCTGCAATCCTGTCTCCTAATCTCTCCTTCCTCACCTAATTTTTCGTAACACTAATCACTTTTACCGAAGTAATTACCTCAACAAATAACGGTCCTTCTTAAGTACTTACCTTGATAGTTCCCTTAGAGCCAGCGCCATCCTTCTTTGCCTTCTTGCTCCCACCACTGAATCTCATACAACCATTAATCTCCTCTTCCTAAACATATTGATCCCAACATTAATGCATAAATGCCTTAACACCACATCAAAGATCAACCGTAGTTTTTAAATATTACCTTTATAGAAGCTTTGGAGCAAGTGGCAATGGCATTTGAAGAAGGGGAGGATGAGAGAGTAGAGAGAGAAGAAGAATCACTCGACCTCTGTGCTCCATCTTCTTGTCCTCCACCACAACCATAGCAGAACATAGAAGAAGAGTAATTGGTACAAGAAGGAGAGGAGAGGAGAAGCTCGACTAAGCCTTCTTCTTCCTCCCCTCCTTCCTCCTCCCTTCTCTCTATCTCCATCAGCAACAAAAGTTGAAAGAGTGTGAGTGAATTATAAGTGAGAGAACCCAAAAAAGTTGCGAGAAAAGACAAGACTAATTAGAGTAGTCTAAAGATAGTCTAAGAAGGCCTGACAAGCTCTTCTTCTCCTGGTGGGATGCGTTGCTAGAAACGGGTAGGTGCCAGTTTAGTTGCTAAGAAGGGTTTGTAAGTTTTGGATACTTAGTAGATAAAGTAACTTACACAACTCTCCTTGGCCTATTGGTTGAGAGCTTAGGCTTCCAACTAATAGGTCCAAGATTCGAGTCTCTGTGTATGCGTTGTGTGTGTGAGTTTGTCTTAAATGGCCTAAATGTCCAAAAATAAAATTAGATAAAGTAACTAAGGTTTTCTTACTGCTTCTTAAAGTAATTTTTTTAATATAAAATTAAAATTTTTTTATTAAAAAGCTACTTTAAGAAGCAGAAAGAAAGTCGTTCCAAATGAAGCCTAATAGATCAAAGTGAATTATCTGAAGCTTATATAAGTGATGCGTGTATAATGACTTAATTAGCTCAAATATTAAAAAAAAAAAACAGTTTAGTTGATAAAACTTCTGCGTCGGCAATAAATTAAGAGAAAAAAAAAAAAAAAAATGGACGAGTAGGATTGATTATATTTGGCGTTTCTGTGGCTCCGTGTGTACAAATTATTTGTTGGGGTGTGAGGGCATTGGATGCTTCTGGGGACGCTTGCTTTGGGGCTGCAGTCCCAGTCAATACCGCAGCCCCAAACGCCATTGAATTTAGAAACCGTGCTCGAGTTTC